AATATACCCAACCCTTTATGACCACAGGGAAGTTGGACAATTCGACTTGCAATCAAGGCACAATCTTTTTGCTACAATTGTGGCTGGTGTCTTTGGGATCATCCAGGCTATTCTTAATCTTCCAACTTGACCCTTATGTTTGTGCAGGTATATGTCCTGTGAACCGTGACAGCATAGACTACATCTTGTCCAAGAACGGCACTGGCAATGCCATCATCATCGTGGTCGGAGGGGCAGCGGAGTCCCTGAACTGCACTCCAGGGAAGAACTCTGTGACATTGAAAAACCGGAAAGGTTTTGTGAAACTGGCTCTACGACACGGGTAAGAGGCAACCTCAATGCTAGAGCAGTCCTACCAGCACATGAAAGGTGCTCTTGTGCCCTGAAGCAGCTGATGTCTTGGTTGAATTCTCCTTTCTCTGATCTTGCTGTGTTGTGTGGATGTATGCCCAGAGCATCAGACACATGAGTCTGTCCTCTGAGCAGGGTCAAGGGTAGGAAGATGACTGGGACAGAAGGAGGCTTCCAGGGTAAGGAGTGGCAGGTGTCAGTAACCTGCATGGGGCATCACCTATGCAACCATCCTGATCTCCAGGGATCCCATGTGTCTGAAATGGGATGCCCACCAAAAATCAGAGATGAGAATATGTGGAAGCATGTTGAATGCCTGACTGGGTTGTGTGTTTCATGGGCCAGTACAATTCTCTTGCATGTCTTAAAAAGTAGATCTCCTATATTGTGTCGAGTCTGGCTGACTTATGTCAGTACCATGTGTTGGAAACAAAGCTCTGGCCAATAAAATCTGCAAATGTGTAACCTGAAAGACTACAGGGCAGTGAGTGAGGTGCTGTAGAATTGCCTGCAGACCAGGGGTGTGGGGTCCTAACATCTCTCCATCTTTCTAGTGCGGACTTGGTTCCTGTCTACTCCTTTGGGGAGAATGAAGTGTACAAGCAGGTGATCTTCGAGGAGGGTTCCTGGGGAAGATGGGTTCAGAAGAAGTTTCAGAAGCACATTGGCTTTGCTCCATGTATCTTTCATGGCCGTGGCCTCTTCTCCTCCAACACCTGGGGGTTGTTACCTTACCCCAAGCCCATCACTACTGTTGGTAAGGTCTTGGTATGAACATGCTATTTGCTTCTCTAGGTAGTAGCATACCTGAGTCTATGCCATACCCCCACCCTAGCTTGGTCTTGAAATCTTGACTGAAGAGGCTGTTTTTCCTTCTGTATGAAACCTTCTGGCACAACTGAGAATGAGCTGGAATAGTTTCCAGAGGCTGCAAGCCACACATTGTGCTCTACTGCCAGCTAGTTTTGCAAGTGAGCTCTTCTGAGGGGTGGAAAATACTGTGGTTGCTACTTTCTCTGGTCTTGGATGGCTAAAGTCAGAAGCAGCCTGACCTCCCACACTTCTAGGACTGGCAATGTGATGCTGTCTGATAGCTGAGTCTTAAAGCCAACCCTGAAATTTATCTTTGAGTCTTCCAACCCAAAGTAGCAAGGTTTTGAGGGAGAGAGAAAAAGTCCTGCTTTGCTTTTGTGGTGTGTATAGGGGAATACATGAGACCTGCAGGTTTAGTCTTGGTTCCTGTTAATTGAGGAGGGATTTATCACTCTCTTGTAAACAGAAGCAAATGGGACTTCCCAACCACGTTGTGCAGCAGATGATCTGCACTTCTGGCATTTGTGTAGCTAAAATGGCTTTGGGTATCAGTGCAGATATGATGAGGGTCCTGGTGGTGGAATAATTGTGCTTCAGAGCCTAGCAAAACTGGGAGGAATCAGGTAAACCTCTGCTATACACTTTGGAGAGTGAAAGTGCTGAACTAGCATAGCTGTGGCCATAGAGGACAAATCTCCAGGCTGTACAGGAACATTCAACCTAACATGTGGATCTTTCCTTTTTCCTTTTTTTTACTAGTTGGGGAGCCCATCACCATCCCCAAAATCGATAATCCATCCCAGAAGGAAGTGGACTTCTACCACAGCATATATGTGGACTCTTTGATCAAACTCTTTGACAAGTATAAGAGCAAATTTGGCCTGCCAGAGACTGAGATTTTGGAAGTCAACTGAAGAGACTGGCTCAGCAGTATCTCCTTCTCTCAGAATCAACACATCTTCTCCAGAAGTCCAAGCTATCATCATGTACTTGAAAGCATGTGTGGGTGTATGTGTCTTTCAAAGAAAGTGTTTAAAGTATTGCTAGACCACTTTTAAAAATAATAATTAAAAGAAAAAAGGCTTTACTTTGGATAAATCCCATTACAAATGTCTTTCTATCCATAAAAAAAAGCACAACTCCCCATTGCTGTGAGGATTTGGATGGGGGAAATGATTGCCTTTGTAATCTGCTATATGATGCTGTTGGATTGCCAGCAATGGATTAGAAGCATTCCTACAGCTACTGTACCCATTAGCACAAGCTATTTTGGGAGAATAGGATCCATCTGGTTTGCAATCAAAAAGCAGCAGGTTCATTTGACCGGGATGGCAGTATTACAAGCATGTTGCACAAGAACCATGTTGAGATGTGCTTATGTAGCACAAGGACATTTCTGCTTTGGAAAAGCCCCTTCTGAAAGCACAAGCAGGCTGCCAAATGCCTTGGTGTGGCATGTACTGTGTGCAGTGGTGGAAACCAAAGGATATGAGTCTGGTGGACCTTGATCTATACAGTGTGGTGGATGCTTTGGTGGCTGTAATTCCATCACTTGTATTTTGAATGTCAATTTAGAAGTCTGTCCCAGGTGCTGCTTGCACAGAGGCAGGTAACTGGAAATATGGGGCTACCTTATAGCCACAAAACTCCAAGGACAAGTTCTAAGAGCAGTGGGATAGTGCAATCATGTGGCCCCAGTGTTGCAGACCCTTAGGGTAACCTGTTGGGGTAAATGCAGTGGGGACTATTAATGGAAAAGTTTTGGATCCCAAAAGCATTTGGGGGAAAGCTAAGAGTAACTTCTGCCCAAAGATGGTTTTTAAATATTGCGTCCAGTGAATGTAAAGGACTAGCCTTTTCCTGCATAGGATCTAAAGTGGGTGACTTTTTAAAGTGTTTCTAAAATGTTTACGTGGGTGTTAACACTGCTTGTAGTGAGATTTCTTCAGAGTACAAATATGTTTATGTATAAACCTAAAACATTGCACTACTTGCATGTCTGACCTGCCTTTTCAACGGTGCAGTTGAGTGTGTTTCAAGCTCCAAAATGTGCCTTTCTTCCAAGCAAGAGGATGGTACTTCACATTCCTGGAATCTTGCCTCTAAAGAAAAATGTTCATCTGTCATATTTGATAGACTATTATATTACGGAGTATCAATTTTTGTACAAATTTCTAGAAATAAACTTGGGCAAAAATAGCAGATTGCTTTGGTCTCTTTGGTGTTGCAGTGGGATGTGCTTGGGTTCATGTTACAGCAATTGTTTGTGTGATTGCAGCTGTGCCTTGGCTTTTATGGGGAGAAAACTGGACTTGTCTGTCCAAAAGAAGACCTGCACTGATCTGCATTGTCCCTGCATGGGACATTCAGGATAGGGTAAGCAAATCTTTGTGGGTTTAGGGTGGGTTTTTGCCTGTCAGTGTATAAGAATCATAGAGTGGTTTGGGTTGGAAGGGACCTTAAAGATCATCCAGTTCCAACCCCCCTGCCATCAGCAGGGACACCTTCCACTAGACCAGGTTGCGCAAAGCCTCATCCAGCCTGGCCTTGAACACTAAGGAGCTAAGGCAGCCTACAGCTATAGATCTCCTTCACTAAGCAGATAAAGAAAGCTCACGCTCTATTGCTCCTTTCAGCAAACTACTTTGGGTTTTGTTGCTGCCTAGCACAGAAAGAGCTGGATTGCATCCCTGATCCTTAACTGAGGGAATCATTCCAGCTCCTATCAAAACCCCCCCAAGCCTTCCACCACTGGAGGTGCAAAGTACTCCAGAAATAGCACACGTTGTTGTAAAGTTCATGTGGGCTCTTTTAGTAACAAGTGAAGGTTTAACCTGTTGTCTGGGAGCTATGGAAGTGGTCCATCAACGCTGGCTGACTTTCACAGCCTGACACTGCTGTTTTTCAAGGGGGGAGCTAAACTTATTCTTTGCCCTTCTCAGGCTTGAGCAATGGACTTTGAAAGCTTCCTGCTCTAGAAGATAAACCTAGTGTGTTGCTAACATCCCCTTCTCACCCCTAGTAAAATTAATTTGGTCATGTTTTCTGCTAGCAAACATTAAGGCTGAGTTTCCAGTGACCTGGCTGGAAGTTCACAGCAGGGAAAGCCATGAATGCTGTTCAAAGTCCTCAGCACAAGCTGGAGGAGGTCAGTTCTTGTAGAGCTTTTTCCAAGCATTGTGTTCAGTTATCAAGTTTTATATCAAAGCACAGCTGCTGCTTGCAAATCCCTCTAAAGCAGAGGAGGGAGGGAGCTATTGCAAATAAGGATTCATTCCTGCAATGAACTGCACTAGTAAATATCTTGTAATTGTCTCTACTGCAAGGTGGGACCAGCTCTGCTCAAAACTCTTGGCTGTGCTGCAAATCCCCTTAATTAAGGTCTAACATGAGATTGCCACTGAATATTGTTCTCTTCTATCCACTTACCACCAGTCTATAAAAGGGGAATTTTCCTTTGATCTCATCTTGTGCTCAATGTACCAGTCCAGGACATTCTAGTCTCATAGAAGTTTCAACCACGCTTCTGAGGGTGGACATGCCTGTGTCCATGGGTGCTCATGGACAAATTACTCCTTCCAAGCTCTCTTTCTGCAGTTGGTTTTCCATTTTCTTGCCAATTTTAGGATTGTAGGGGTAAAAGTCTTACCTAAAATTAATCTCTGGCTTATGATGTGTTTAAGAGGAGGCTTAGGGAAGGCTTTATTGCTCTCTACAATAACCTGAAAGGAGGTTGTAGCAAGGTGGGGGTTGGTCTCTTCTCCCAGGCAACCAGCAATAGGATGAGAGGTAATGACCTCAAGTTGTAGCAGGAGAGGTACAGGTTTGATATCAGGAAAAATCTCTTCTCTGAAAGAGTGGTGAGACATTGGAACAGGCTGCCCAGGGAAGTGGTGGAATCACTATCCCTGTAAGTGTTCAAGAAACATGTAGACATGGCACTTCAGGACATGGTTTAGTGGGCATGATGGCGTTGGGTTGATGATTGGACTGGGTGATCTTAGAGATCTTTTCCAACCTTAATGATTCTGTGATGATTTTGACTGATTTAGCAAAATACTCACTGGGGGTTGCCCTGGTACTGTAGATACCTTCACCTGCACCTACATTCTCCTACTTATGCCCATGCCTATGTAACAGAAGCTTCTTGGAGAGAGGCTGCATTTGGTGTACACAGCATCCAGAACAAAAGAGATTGTATTGTAAAATAACCCAAATGTTAACAGAACTTATCACCTCTGACTCAGTGGTGACCACGGTACATGTTGGGGCAGCGTCAGGATGGTATCACTATATTTTTGTTGCCTTCTTATCCAGGCATCTTCCTTTGGTGACAACATGAGGTAGGCTTCTGCCCATGATAGACCAGCCCTCATAAAGCTGTTCTTACTGTCTTTTTTTGAGAAATGGGCATCTTTGTTTTCATGTGGATCTGTCTCGCCTTTAACTCAGCAACTTTCACATCCTCTGCTGTTGTTTAGCTTAACCTTAAAATGCATTTTGCACTTCTCCAGTGCTTTAAGACCCCCCTGTCCTCCTCATATTCCTCATTATAATTGCAAGAGTCCTGATAACCCTTCCCTTCCTCTGCACGGGGCTCTATCAGCCCTTTCTGGTTTCAGGCTTGAGATCTTATAGAATCATAGAATGGTTTGGGT